ACAGTTTGAAAAGTGATAAAGCGTTTACAGTGATTCGACGCAAAAATGCCTTTCAACACTAATAACCCTTCTGGGCTAACGCCTCTTTGAGTTAATAATTATATATTAAATAATTAAAAAAAACCAATAAAATCTGAAAAGAAATTACATTACGCCCAAAGGGGCTTTGTTCCTGAAGGACTATTGTTTTCGTTTTGCGATTTTGCGTTGAATCACTATAAATGTCCGTTTCACTTTTCAAACGGTTGCCACCAAATGTAGTCCTGCATTACATTTGAAGAAATTAAGTAATGAAAAATCTGCATAAATGTATGTATATTTCTCGCATTGTGAAAAAACGACGGTACCTAGAGTCATCAGATTTTGAATAACGCCTTCCTTCATTCGAATATAGGCATACCTGGAAGACTGAAATTTGAGAATTTGGATATTTCTTTTATTGTCGATTTCACATTTTGTAAAACTTTAAGGAATATTTGTTAGTAACAAACTCAACGATTTGAAGAGCGATCAATGACAACCCAATGCTACGGGGGGGGGAGGAACCATTGTATCTAAGCGCGCGGAAACTGTGTTATCGGAAATTCTAAAGACATGCTGTTTTTTTAAATTACTTTGTAATATTTGCTATGTTGAATTGAACATGGTTTGAGTGCGAAGAACATGATATTTAATAAATAAAGGTAACACAGGAAACGTTAAAAAAACACTCCTTGGACTTAAATCTGAAACCTTTCAGTTTATTTTTTTTTAACGTTTTGTGTGTTACCTTTATTTATTAAATATCATGTTCTTTGATGAACCATAAAATTAACTTCAATAGCAATGTTGCAAAATGATTTTAAAATGAGCCTATCTTTAGAATTTCCGATACACTGTTTCGTGCACTGAAGATAAAAAGGTTTCCCCCCCCCCCCCGTAGAGTGTTGCTATGGCTCGCTTTAAATCGTTTGAGTTTGTTATTCAAAAATTCGTTAAAAGTTTTACAAAATATGAAATCGATAATAAAACAAATTTCAAATTTGATCTTCCACGTGCCCATATTCGTAGGAGGATGACGTCATTCAAAATTCGATGACTCTATGCACCGTTGTTTTATCATAATACGAGAACATTTATGCAGATTTTTCATTATTTAATTTCTACAAATACAATGCAGAACTCTAAAATTTGGAGGCAACAGTTTGAAAAGTGATTCGCCGTTTATAGGGATTCAACGCAAAACGAAAACGATAGTCCTTCAGGGACAAAGCCCCTTTGGACTAATAATCACACATTAAATATTTAAAAATATCATAGGAAAATTAATTAAAATTGATTTCATCCCAAAACACGTGGTTCAAGAGGTTATTGCCACAAAAAAGGGGGGGAATCGTCGTTACCACGAAATAAAACTGAAAATTATTGTCACTACCGCAAAAAAATCAAATTATCATGCATGTCATTCAAACCTGTCTATTTGTTCTGGTTGTCATGTGATCCAAGATGGCAGCGACCACACATTTTTTTTATGCCACTTCCGCGGCACGAGGACGAGGTGTTACTGCACATGTAAAAAGAGTCACTCAAAAAAGATAACTAAATTTTAATTATGCTAATCAATTAATGATTATCATGATTTTTTAAAATTGTAAGTAATCTAGGGAAACATGAAATTTATGGAATGAGATCATAACAGATTTCTTAATTTTTTTTCCAACAAAGCCAAGTTAACCAATTAACAGTTGGCTTTGTGGATGAAAATTATTGAATTTTGGCAGTTTAATCTGGAAATCAGTTTTTACAGATAAATAAATTCATGATTTCCCACTTATAGATAACAGCAAAATAGTGTCGATATACTAATAATATAGTGAACGATGACTTTGAGTTTTATAAGTTGTAATTAATAATATTTTATGCTTTTATAGTAATTCTACTATTGCGGGTATTTTCCCTGATCAGTTTCAGCATTGGAATTTGATGGTGGTAGGAAATAACTCCTTTTAGTATTTATCATCAAAGCGGTCAAATGCAAAATCAAAAGTTTTCTTCCAAAGGTAATTTTATTCAAGTAACGAATATTGTCTTAATTAGCTTTTCTTGATAAAGATGGACACATAAGTGATAATATTCAAATGCCAAACTTTTTCCATCAAGAAAGGTTATCATACTATTTTTAGGAAATCCTTATAACGTTGATGGAAATCTGCTGAAGATTTCTCAACAAAAGTGCCCTCTTTATCAAAGTTCAAGAACTCTCTAAATAGCTTAGCTGTGTGTGTACATCAAGATCACGTACTGACCTGTAAACAGCCATGATGTTAAATTTGCCTTCATTTGGTTATCATCCAAAATAACTTTCCGAAATGGGAAGATAAAACCCAGATAAAATGCTTCAGTTACAGTTTTAAGTTTTATTTGCTCAAAACATGCAAATAATTCTGAAAAGATACTTCATTCTTTTTACTTTTTAGTTAGAGAAAATTTAAGAACCTTAACTAATACATTAAGTCGTTATTAATTATTTTGTTTAAGAATGGAAAATTCAGTCTTCCTACGATAAAAATTATTCGAAATATCATTAACTAAAATCCGATGAAAATGCTTTTGAACACTGCTAAATAAATCATATTTTTAATTGCAAATTAAGTGTTTGAATGCACACTTCTAAATGATAATCTTTAAGAAACATGCGTATAGAATTTTGGCTTTCAAATGTCCATGCAGAAATTCTAAACGATTCATTGGACGAAAGCAACATAAGTCACATAATTTTGCATATTTCAGAATAAATTTTTAAAAAAAGATTTTTAATAGGATAAGAAAAGACTTCCTCTGTCGAATAATTCGAACTTTCTCTGCAGTGAGTACGAATATAAAAGCTTAACGTATTTTCTTGAACTGCAGTCGTAAATCTATGGCTCATCAAAAACATTTGATTTTCTTATTTCTAAGTTAGGTGAAGATAATCAAAATCTATTGGTATTAACGCCTTTTAAATCATAAAATCAGAAGAGATTGCTACGTATTACAGTCAAAAGTCGTTAATCCGGACTCGTCGGGACTTCGGCGATTCCGGATTATCGATTTTTCCGGATTATAGATCATCAGTTTAAATCTCGTAAGATGGCATGCAGAAATTCTAAAATTAAAAATATGAAATCGTTAATTATGAAATAAAGAACAATTATGATCTAAAGGGTATCAAAATTTACCAAAAAAAAAAAAAAAAAAAAGCTTAATATTTATTTGTTTACTTTATTAAATATTCTTTCAATGTAAGTTGTTTAAGTTGCTTCGTTTTATGTGATAATACTTTCTCTTTAATTCTATAAACAGACATAATTTCTTGTTCAGTACAAGTTCCGCTTTTAAGTCCAGTAATTGCTGTGTCGAGAATACCGACTAACTGTCAATCGAAATTTTTTCGTTTTCACTAACTCTCTGTCACCTCTTTCATGTCTTATCCATTGTTTTTCAGCAATTCCACTTTTGTTGACGGACATCGAAACATACTTTCGTTTGTAGATCCTTTGGGAGCTCCAGCATCGAAATTCTATTTGACATAATCGAAATTCAAGTTTACTTTATAAAATTGCTCTTCAGTCTGCAACAAAATATAAGCCGGATCCAATTCGAGATTAAGGAACAACGCAATCATCAACATTAACTGAAATAGATAATTAGATAATTTAGCTTATCCGTCCGTTTATACATTAAACGCGCACGCGAAAACGTATTCTGCGCTTGCGCACACGACGCTTACGCAGTCGTAAATGTCTTACGCGCACGCTTAAACGCCTATGCGCATGTGTCAACGCGGCCCATGCGCAGTAAGTTTTTAAGGTCCGGATTATAGATCATTCCGGATTATGGGTGTCCTAATTAACGACTTCCTCTCATTTCAGGATTTTCTGATCCTGATCACTCATATCACCATATCAGCTTTTAGGACTGTCTTCATTAATACACATCTTTGTTCAGTCGCCAAAAGCAGTAGCTCCCAGAAGTGTTCGCGCACTTTAAGAATTTATAGGGGAAAAAAATAGAGCGCTGTAGCCCGGAGTTGAATACAAAGATAAAACTCGATATTTTTTCATGTCATCTCCATGCGATTTTGAATAAAACCAAACTTTTTTAATACTGATTTATTTTTTTATCTAAAATTGAAAATGAAAGGACGAGCCACAAAAGCGATCGTACACCGAAACATTTTTGTAAAATTTCGCAAATAAAATTATCGTCCGCCACATTAAAAAAACTTTTTTTTGCATTTTGGTGACGCTTAAAAAATCGTTTGGCTTTATTCTTTACTTGTTTACTAAGTTACGTTTTATTTAATATTTAAAAATGGCTCGTAGTCGTAAAGAAACAACGAATAGCATTCGAAAATTGACCATTTTTCATCATAGGGATGGAAAATCGCTTCGGGATATCACTAAATTAGCAAATTTATCCCATTCTACGGTGCAGTATGTGATAAAATACTTTAAAGAAGAAAATCGCATCGAAAATAAAATAAGAAGAGATCATCCTGCAGAGTTAATTCAACATGATCAGAGATTTATATTTAAAAAATTCGCGAAAAATCCACGTTTGAGTGCTATAAAGATTTCTAGAGAATTTAGTGTAAAATCATCTATTTCAGTTTCACCTGAAACTGTTCCACGAGTACTCAGATCAGCTGGATTATATGGGTACTCTGCTGAAAGAAAATTTTTTGTAAGTGCAAAAAATAGAAAGCTTAGCCTTTCTTTTGCAAAATCAATGGTAATTAAGCCCGAAGCGTATTGGAATCAATCATGTCTTATTTGCTGATGAAAGCAAATTTAATATTTTGGATTCCAATGGGCGTATAATTGCATGGAGAAGAAAAACTGAGGAACTTCCAAGACCTTGGATGGAATAGTAAAGTGGCAGTAAAGTAGGTGTCCTTATGTGGGGGTGAGTGCTAGAATCAGGATGAGATAATTTAGTATTTATTGATGGCATAATGAACCATCTTCTTTGTTTGAATGTTTTAAAAGGCGATTTAAAATGATGTGTCCAAAATTTGGGTCTTGGAAATAACGTTACTTTTTTTATCAGTATAATAATCCCAAGCACACGGCCCTCAACGTTCGCCTTTGGTGAGTCTATAATTGTCCACAACTTCTGAAAACACCACCTCAGTCACTAGATTTATAAAATATATTTGGAGAGAATTAGAGGTTAGAGTGTGAAGAAACAATAATAAAACGAAAACTGAACTTAATGAAAACAATAATGACGGATGAATGAAGGAACATTGATGCAGATGTTACAAAAAAACTAGTGAATTCTATGCCCAGACGTTTGAAAGCTGTCATAAATGCTGCAGGATATTCTACAAAATACTAACTGACAGAAATTACAATATTTACCAATACGTGCAGATTTCTTTAAAGTGTACGAAGACTTCTGTGAGGTAACTTTTCTGTTATTTTTGATTATTGAGTTTCCAAATTTTTTTTTTACTATGTTCATAAAATTACTAATGAGTTTTTGCTCAGAGAAATTTATAGATATTATAAAAAAATTCTCATTCTCAAATATTAATTTTTATCAATGAATAAAACAATATTTCACTGAAACTCTTTAAATGTACGAACATTTTTGGAAGCTAATGTGGTTTGCTGCTGAATTGTTTTCGGACCCTTCCGGCGTTTATTAAATAACTACGCAGTTACTTCAGGCTTAATAAATTTAGACATAGTGCAAAACATCCGGCCAAAATGTGCGGGCAAAAGATTTGTGTGCCGGTGATTTAAAAATGGTCTCAAGATGTCACGTAATATTACAATTTGAAGTCCGCTATCTTATTTATCTTAACGTTTCACCGTCTAATAATAGCATACTTATCACTAACAAACAAAAGGAAGTTACTGTCGGCATGTATCAGAGGCGAGGCATTCCTAACATATGAGATAAGCAAACTACAAAAGTTATGTAACGCTCATATTTTCCAAATTATGTTGACTTCCCATAAAGTTATTTTTACATTTGTAGTAAATACCGTAGATTGCAATATGTTGTATTCATCGCAAATTCACAGCTTTACAATACTTTGCGTTTGTTTAAAATATATTATTTATAATTTTAACGCTTGATTACCTGCTACAATATTTTGCTTTTGAGATAATTTGCAAACCAATACTTTTATCTTAAAATTATTACACTTTAGAATGAAGAGCTTAAGAATTCGGTTTTAATGCAGATTGGGCAATTTTCGAGCTCATACTATAACCCCTTTTTAGCGCAAAGGGGCTATTAGTCTCTTTCACTGGAAACTCACTATCGAATTTTTGGATCATAAACATTACCTTCCTATGTATATGGGTCGGCGGGAGGTAAAAAGCATTTTTAGTCTTTGATATGCTACAAAATTTACCTTAACTAAAATAGTCGCTTTTTACAAAATCTACAAAATTTTAAAAATTTTTTGTAGCAGGTTTTTCAAGAACATAACTCATAGAGATGCTTAATAATTTTATTTAGAATAAAACGCCTCCAATACTTACAAATACAATAATAGGATTAACACTTAGACTCGATTACTTCTTAATACCTCCAATAATACTTTAGACTAGTATGTCTCCAATACAATAGAAATGAAATTATTATATTCCCCCCCCCCCGCGATTTCGGAAAGCTGATTTTCTGGCCTGTTGTTAGTGTATTAACCGTGAAATATTATTTAAAATGTAAAATTAATCATTTTAATTCTCATAGTTTAATGATCCGTTGTTTCCTAACTTCAGCTCACTTTGACAAATGAAATCGTTAAAGATTCTGATATATATTATTCTTCAGAATTTAATCTAGCATATTTAATACATCAAATTATTACAGTATTCAATAATATATTTTCATCTTTTATTTTAAATGTAGAAATGTTAGTATATGTTCTAATTGCACTCTGATAAGAAAAGCACGTTCAGTGATCTATTTAAATAGAAGCAAGAAAAAGTATGAAGATATGAATAAACATGTTATTGAGGAAATATGCTTTAAAGTAATTAAAACTACGACGTATTTTTAGAAATCTTTTGCTTGACTCTTTTATCACCTTTTGTTTAGTATCTTCTGAAAGCGTGTCCACTAATTCCAGTAGCAATAAAATTATATTACTGTCTGATGTAAGTTTCCACTTAAATTGCAGAATCATCTGTCAGCCTGAATTCGTGACTGAGCAAAATCACCTCTGCAAACACAAATGATGACGAAGATGATGAAGAATCGGAATAATTTCCAGCGTGGAATCTAGTGACGTGGAGTTTACATGAAAAGGAAATCTCAGGTGAGGATGACTCAGTTGAATGTAATGTTAGTGTTTGAACATCAGCTTAAGATCTTAGTCACATGTTCATGCACATATGCGCATAAGTGTAGCAACGATTTTTTGTAATAAGAATGGAAAGGTTGATAACATTCGCCGAATAATAACATTAAACGCTGAGAAAAAATATCCTTCAAAATAGCAATGGAATTTAATATGAAAATATCAAGAAACATTTAAATAGGTATTTTCATAGCATTTTAATTAGGAAAATTTAGAAGTTTGTTGAACTGATCGTAATATCTTTAATGCAAAAGTTCACTTATGAACTATTCATAATATCTTTAAACCATTCATTATGTTCAGTAAGGAACTGTACCATATTCATAATGTTCAGTAAGGAACTGTTCATAATGTCTTAAACCAAAAGGCTCATTTATGAACTCTTCATAATATTTCTTGAAATTAATTTACCGTACCCCTAATGTTAATATTTGGAAGGCATACCTTATTGGAAGAGAATATACCAATATAAAATTTTATTTAAGCGAAATGAAACCTGAGTTTGTCATAGATGTTTTCAGGGAAAAAAAAAAAAAAAAAAAAACCCGTTTGTTTGGGCGTAATATAAAATATGAAAGCTCTAATATTTTATTTTATTTTTATTTTTTCCCCTGAAGAAGAAACTTTTGTGGCTGATCGCCCTCAGAATCTATAAGTTATTCTAAATTTACGTCAAATTAAGGTTGCCTTTTTGCATGATTTTAAATGGTTGACTGAAATCAAAACGAAGCTATTTGGCTACTTAATCCCTCATATTTCGATATTTTTCTGTCACTTGGCAATTTTTATAGACTATTTTGACCTTACATGGAGACTTTCTTTTTATTTAAAAAAATTTATTCTATTAATAGTTTGATCATATTAACTGAATTGTTGATCACAATAAGAGATGCATTTTCCATATTAGAGACTGATATCAGTTTACGGAAGCGCCCGGGTACGAATCCCGGAGAAGGGAGGAATGTAATTTGTCCGTCTCTTCATATGAGGCAGCAGCTGCCCACCTATTAGGTGCCAGGTGCCTCCATAATAAAGAGACCACCGCTTCTGGCCTTAGTAATGGCTAATGCCTATAAACTGCTACAGCCCGCCACTGTGGGGGGATGTTACTGCTGTTAGCCCACCAATTATTATCCAGGATTTCTTATCTCTAATGGTTGTGCACGGGATGAATTACTTAATTTGCATAACTATTTATAAACGCCATTACAAATTCTGCAAATATGTGTATGTTGGCAGCTTCACAAGATGAAAATATTTCTTTTAATTTTTAGTATGTCACATTTAAGGAAATTTAATGATAATCTGAAAGTTCATGAAAATTTAATCAATTTCTTGATCTTGAGATCTAGATAAGTCACATCCACAACGCATCTACTATAGGATGTGAAGTGAACAATGTTCAGTATTTGCTCGTCATTATATTGTAGATACATTAGGTATTTTTTGGAGCAGGCATGATGAAAAATATGCAACGCCTTCGCCGGGAATCGAACCACGGACCTCTGGAATACCGGCTCAGCGTGCAGAACTACTACATCACAAAGCCTTGCTAGGAAAGTGGGGAGAAATACCTTATACTATACTCCCCTTTTTAAAGGGCGACTGGGGTTTTAGGGGACCCAGTCGCCAAATCCTGGTTGTGGATAATCCTCATCCAACACCCTCTTAGTTCGCGCGCCCCTGTAGAGACATTAGGTATGTTTTGGAGCAGAAGATGAAAAATAGCAAACCGCTTTGCCGGGAATCGAACCACGGACCTCTGGAATACCGGCCCAACGTGCAGAACCACTACACCACAAAGGCACGCTAGGAAAGTGGGAGAAATATATTCTGTGATATTTTTGAGCCTGCTAAAGTATGTTTTATTTTGAATGTGCTAACAATTTCAACCATTTCCGGCCTGCGATATTCTATCTTTTGGTTGTATGGTTAGTCTGAGTTGGATGGAAGATGGAAAGTAGTAAGCATATTGAATATTTAGGAATGAAAAAACGAAGAATTTTTACTAGCTGATTAAAAATTAACTATATGCACATGTGAAACGTAAACTCCTTGCACGTGTGCAAGATAGGTAACCTTTCCTTTCACGCCGAGGCGGAAATTTGCTAATTCCCCTTTCTCATTCCTAAAACACAGAAGTATTCTTTTGTGTCTGAGTGAAATGATATAGGTATTTGTTAATAGGAAAATCCTCACTTCTTTCGAAAAAGTTCAGAAATTTTACACTTTGATTAAAGGAATTAACCGATAAAATTCCTAATTAACGAAATTTTAAATATGTCTGTTAGCAATGAATATCAAAACAGTAGTTCTTAGCCTTTTTCTTAGCCAAAAAATTATGCATCTTAAATGAACACCTTTAACTTGCGACACCGAAATTTGAATCTTGACATTATTATTATTATTATTATTATTATTATGGACATTATCTTCAGGCTTGTAACAAGAGCATCACACGAATATTATGTATGCTGAATTACTAAATCGGCACGTCGTGTGTTCCTCAGCTTGTCAGCATTTAATCTTATTAAATCTTATAATTAACTGACCAACAGGTAAATCATTTACAAGGTGCATTAGTCTGTTTTTCAGTTTTACTTAAAAAAATGGGGGGGGGGAGGTCTCAGATTTTAAATTACATTCAAAGGGGCATTTTTTTTAACGTTCTGTGTGTCACCTTTATTTATTAAATATCATGTTTTTCGCACTTAAACCATAAAATTCAGTTCAACAGCAATATCGCAAAATAATTTTGAAATGAGCCTAGCTTTAGAATTTCCGATACACAGTTTCTTGGGCTGGAGATAATTTTTTTTTTTTTTTTTCCGTAGAGTGTTGCCATTGCTCCTTTGAAATCCTTAAGTTTATTAATCAAAAATTCGTTAAAGTTTTACAAAATATGAAATCGATAATAAAACAAATTCCAAATTTCAAATTTGGTCTTCCACGTGCCTGTATTCGTAGGAGGATGACGTCATTCAAAATTCGATGGCTCTATGTACCGTTGTTTTATCACAATGCGGAGAAATAGACATACATTTATGCAGATTTTTCATTATTTAATTTTTACAAATACAGTGCAGGACTCTAACATTGGGTGGCAACAGTTTGAAAAGTGATTCGCAGTTTATAGTGATTCAACGCAAAATCGCAAAACGAAAACAATAGTCCTTCAGGGACAAAGCCCCTTTGGACTAAAAATGTTACTTTCGCGTAAGTGTGATATGGAAAACAGAAGTAAAATTTTTATTGCTTTATCCGTGATAGTGGAATACTGACATCGCGCATAAATACAAAATAAAGAATTAAAATATTTTAAATTTTGTTTACAATCACTAACTTTATCATCAAGAAACACAAACTAATTTCTAAGCATTGGTGCAGGTGTTGACGATTCAAAATAATAGCATTTATCTGTAATCAGAGAAAATCATTACGGCAGATAGCCTATCTAAAAGTAACACAGGTATTTTATTTTCTAAAAATATACATCTAAAGTAAAAAAAAAAAAAAAAAAAAAAAAATTAAAAGATGTGTTGGAAATTTGTTAACAACAAACAGCATGTGGCAACATTACTACTTTGCAAACATTGTTTTATTTTGAAATAGAAACTATTCTGCATTATGAACTTTCACGGATGCGCAAGTTTGAGGAGATACTTTTTGTGAACGACAATTTGCTGTCTCTCTTTCGCAAACAATGAAAGCTTCAGTTAAAATTTTTTTCTAAAGGAATTCTCAGATAATTTCAATACCTAAGATGAAAAATTGAAATTCAGCTTGAAAACTTGATAATTTGTTAATTCGAGTCATCTACTCAGAATCTACGATTCCCATTTAAATTTTCAGATGATCTAAAACACTTGTTCTTAATTTTGGTAGAGTTGGAAAAAAAAAAAAAAAAACTTTAAAATTAGGAGAGAAAAATCTAATACGAAAAAATAATTTACAGCTGATGACAATGAAATAATAAAAGGAGACTTGCTGCAGATAAAATTGAGTTAAGTTATTTTATTACGGTAAAGGATCTGGAGAATACTTACCACAGGAGAAATGTTATCGGTGTACATTCTAATATAAATTCTCATGCATTTACTTTATATTCAAAGAAAGCAACGAAATTTCTTAACAGCCAGAACAAGAAGATGGTGGAATTTAAACATGTTTCAGATAGTGAGCTGAAAATATTTTCTAAATTTAAAATAGTAGAAGACTTTTAGTTTGTTGAAAATCGAATTGAATTAAAGATTGTTTAGTATTCTCTGATGATCTTGACAGTATAATATTGTTGCGTTTTTCTATTCTTCTTCTGACACCAGTTGTTGCGTTATTTTCTTCCTTCACGTTCGTACGGGGTTCGTGTGGATTTGGAGTGAATAACGACGACACTTAATGAAGTATCGAAACACACTTTATTAGCCAGTATTGTCATGACAGCTCCGAAACACGTTTTACAGTCGTCGTGAACTACTATAAGCACGCTGACTCGATCAGCGACACAGCCGTCAGGTTATCAGGCTATCACGGTGGAAACAGCTTCCTGCAAAGCAGCCGACTCTGCTTTCCGGAGTACAGCTCCCGACTCTGCTTTGTCGTTCTCGGAACTCCACGTACTCTCGAGACTCTCCACGCTACAACTCGCGATGCACTCGACGACACACGAGCACAGCTGCTGCCTCTTCGGTTCAGTCTTTCCCGGAGCTCAACACGCTCTCTCGACGATGCACTGACCGCGATCACTAAAACACTCCTTTAGTGGACTCGACGACCCACTCGGCAGTCGCTGCCCGGCTGTCAACTTGATCGACTCCGCAGGGATTGACTCGCTAGACGAGGCACACACACTCTCCATGAGAGACACACTTCCTTTCGATGAAGCACACTTACTGACTGCAGACCAGCACGGTTTATATAGCTTTCGGCTTGTGTTCGGGAACATTCTGGACTAAGCCGGT